CGGCGTCGTAGCCCTCGGCCCGCGCCTTGTCCACACCCCGTGCCGCGATCTCCACGGGGTCCGCCTGCGTGCCCTCCTCGTACACCTCCACCCCAATCTTGGTGCCCAGCTTGACCAGCTGGTCGATGGCTGCGGGGCGGTACACGTCAGTCGCCACCAGCAGCACCTTCGGGGCAGTTGTGTTTGTTTTTGGGGGGGGTCAGGCCAGGAGGGATCTCGGGGGTGGGGGGGAGGAGAGGACCGGCCAGCAACGCCAGGTGGGGCTGCGCCTGCAGTGATCCTGTCACGCTTGAAGCCTGGAGGCCACAGCCTTCTCAATTGCACACTCTGCCCCCCTTTTGCTGCAGCCGTTCATGACCTGACAGGCCCCCCACTCAAGAGTGCTGCTCCCTCCCACCGACCCTCACCCCCCCTGCCCCGCCCTGCCGCCCACCCGCTTGCGCCGCTTGTTGAGGAACAGCGCCAGCTTGCCTGCCGCCGTGGTCTTACCCACGCCCTGCAGCCCCGCCAGCAGCACCACCTGCGGCCCCGCCCCGCCTGTGGGTGGCTCCAGGTCCTTGCTGCCGGCGCTGCCCATGAGCTCCACCAGCTGGTCGTTCACCACCTTGACAAACTGCACCTGGGGGGTCACGCCTGAGATCACCTCCAGGCCCAGGGCCTTGGCCTCCACCTGGGGTGGGTGAACAGGGGGGTAGGGAGCCCAGGGCAAGGTGACAGGCTTTGAGGGTGATTAATGTGGCCGGCAATCTGCACGTTTGGTCAAACACCCCATCGCAGGGGTAGGCAGGAAAGAGGGGGGGGGGGAGGGGCTCGCGGCGGACCCGACCCAGCTCACGGATGCAAAACGCTGCTGCTTTGCAGCTAGACATCCGATTGGCTGCTAAACGCCCCTCCCATATGCTGTCGTCTTCCTCTTCCCTCACAGAGAACCGCGACCCACCTTGGCTATGAAGCGCCGCACCACAGGCAGCGACACGTCCGCCTCCAGCAGCGCGCGCCTCACGTCCCGCAGCGGCTCCTTCATGTTCTCGGCCGTCAGCCGCCCGTCCGCCTGCAGGTTCTTGAACGCACTCGACAGCGACGCACTCAGGCCATCAAACATGGCGCCTGCAACCAGCAAAGCGCCGCGGCGGCGCGCCTGCCGGGCACGCGCGGTGTGTGGGTGGCGGTGGTGCGAGGTGATGTTCGTGTGTGTGCGTGACAGAGATGGTGTGCAGATGGCAGGCCGCCACGAGCGGGAGGCGAGGCCATGCAGCAGCACAAACAAGCAACATGTTGTTTAACAAAACGCAATAGGCGCGACAACCTATCAACCCTGGCACAAGCGCGTGCGGAAGCAAAGATATTCATCCACCAAACGAGCACAAGCGCAGTGCCCAGGCGGGCGCACCCCTGTGCAGACGCCCACCTCTGCAGCCCCAACAAGCTGGGGGGCCGGGGTGATCAGGCGCATGCCTCTGACGCTTCCGCTGCTGCTTGCACGGCTGCTGGCTGCTCTGCTGCTGCTGTTGCTAGCAGGCCGCATGCTAGGCACGGGCGCGCCCACAGCCGGCCGAGCTCGGCTTCCAAGGACCCGCTGATGGCCAAATAGGCCCCGCATTTTGTCCTGCTAGCAACACGCGCCTTCAATTGGCAAGGGCTGCCTTGTAAATGGTTGCGTCCTTGAGATCGCTGCACCAGGCGCGGATGAATAACAGCGCAATTTGGAGAAAATTGTAAGCAGATGTTTCTACCGATGCGACCTGAAGCACGCGCTTTGCGTGGCTGGTTGGTAGCAAATACAGCCTAGTGCCGGACACTCTGATGAGCTTGTGTTTCGTGGATCGGTACTTTTGGAACAACGGCGCCAATCTGTTGTGTCACATTTGAGTATCAGGCGTAAGAACAGACATTTTCCGGTCCCGTGTCGGACCAGCCTAAGCCATAAACGATGCAGCAGCAGTTGTCCGCTAGGCCTCGTGTGCTGGGCAAAGGCCAGACAATTGCCTGCTCGAAGCTTAGGAGCGTGGCTGTGTGCGCAGCGATGAAGGTGAGGACGCCCTGTGAGCTGAGGATGGGGAGGGCGTCGCTTAGCGGCGCTGCGGGACACGAGTGGCCACGGTTGGGAGGCAGAAGCAGTGCTGCAAGTGTCAGAAAGCAGTGGGAAGCTGCTTCATGCTCATCTGTGTCTGTGGGCTTGCTGACGCAATGCACCGCCCGCAACAGGTTGCCGTGACGGGTGCTGGGGGGCGGACGGGTGGTCTGGTGGTCAAGAAGCTGCTGGAGGGTGGCGCTGACAAGTTTGTTGCAGTGCCCATCGTCCGCAGCCAGAAGGTGGGTTGGCTAATACCAGATCAGCTGCATGCGTTGTGGGTCGATTTGGAGTTTTGCCCGCTGAAGTCGGTGGCCGCAGCTGCCACGGCCCCATCGGCAGGGTCAGCGCACCCTGCCACCGCCTCTGTCCCACTAAATTGCGCAGAGCGCGGACAAGGTCGAGTCTACCTACAGCTTGGCCAAGGGATCAGCCAAGGTGCTGGACATCTCCAGCGGTGATGTAGCTGCGGCCACGACGGCGCTTCAGGGTGAGTTCGCCCCATGTGCGGTCGGCTGTGGGGTGCTGTGCCCAGGCATGTGCAACCCTTGATCTCATACGGACACCGGTTAACAGCGGGGACAGCCCAACTATGTGTGCTATCCAGGTGTTTTTTTTAAGCGGCCAGGCGCTCGCGCAGCCATATTTCTGCTTGCCTCGCCATAACCATACAGGCTGTGATGCGCTGGTGATTGCTACCAGTGCCGTGCCTGAAATTCTCAAGCTGTCGTTGATCCCCGTCATACTGGCAAAGCTCTTCAAGAAGGAGGGCGTCAGGTGGGGCTTTGACAGTGGACATGGCAGTCAAGCAGGGGTGGGTGGGGCAAGGGTAGCTGTTGCTACCTGCACTGCTAGTTTTGACCACACTAAGGCCTGCCAATGGCTGGCCTGCAGCTGCCGCGGGGCAAAAGGATGCTGCTGAAGAGCTTTCGCGTCCTCTTTGTGGTGCAGGCCACAGTTCCGATGGAAGGAGGGGCAGACTCCGGAGCAGGTGGACTGGCTGGGACAGAAGGTTCAGATTGATGCGGCCAAGGCGGCAGGCGTCAAGCAGGTGTGCTAGCCTGCTCATGAGCATGCGTCTCCTTGAACTCACCAGCTGCACATTTCACTGCGTACTGTCAACACTAAGTCATGCTGGTGGGTAGGTGGATTCACAAGAATGTGGTCAGCCTGCAGCCAAGAATCATGCTCGACCCGCAGTTATGACATCATGCATTGGGGGCGAGTCTGCATGTCTGCCACACGTCCTGTCCCCCTCCTCGCTTGCCGTGGTGACTTCAGGTTGTGCTGGTTGGCAGCATGGGTGGCACCGACCCCTCCAACATGCTCAACAAGCTGGTGGGGGAGGACGGCGGCCAGATCCTGCAGTGGAAGCGGCGCGCTGAGCAGTACCTGGTGGCCTCAGGGCTCACCTACACCATTATACACCCCGGCGGCCTGGTGGACGAGGAGGGGGGCAAGCGGCGCCTGGCTGTGGATGTTGACGACGGCCTGCTCAAGCGCAAGACGCGCTCCATCCCCCGTGCTGATGTGGCAGCACTCGCGGTTGGCTGCCTGGGGCTTGCGGAGGCCACCAACCGGTCTTTTGATGTGTGCGCGGATCCTGTTGGCGAGGGAGAGCCCAGTACAGAGTGGGGTGCGCTGCTGGACGGTTTGGGCGGCCGCAACTGCGACTACAGCATCAACAGCCAGGCAGAGCCCGCCGAGCCGGTGGTGGCGGGGACCCCTTGAGCGGGAGGTCTGCATAATTGATTGAGTGAGCTGAGCACGCTGAGATGAGTGGAGTGGTAACACGCTTATGAAGCAGGGTCAATGTGGTGGTGGGTGGGTGCGCAACTTGATGCAGTGACAGGATTTGTATAGTAGGACAAGGGTTTAGGGTTTAGGTTTTAGCCGGCTTAGAGCCGGCTTAGAGCCGGCTGGCCTGACGCCGCACTGATAGGGCAAAGCAAAGCACCAGGCCAGGTGGCGGGCGTGGCGCCGCGGGCCGGCGCGCGTGTCGGACATCGTGGAAGGATGGCTCACCATATGGCTGACATATTTGCTGCGCACGCTGTGGCACTTCGTGGTCCGGCACGGGTGTGAGGTGCGTGCAAGGCGGTCAGAGCGATCTCCGAATGGCCGTTCCCGGCACCCCTGGCCTGCCAGCGCCCGGCACGCCACCGAGAGGTGGAATTTGACTCCGTGGACCCACCGAGGTCCGTGCATTTGGCCCTGGACCTCGGGAATTT